TCTTCTATTTACTACATAGCCAGCGAGGTTAATCATATGCAGAAGCAATTCATATTCTACCCACATACAATCTCTTCCTTCCCATAGTACTTTGCATATTTTACGCACCATGAGAAACTATGTCTGTCGCCTTACTAAAACAGAGAGAGGTCATTCCTGGATTCCAACAGCCTCCTCTGGTTCACACACATTAATTCTGGACTGCCTACTCTGGTTTCCCAGAAGACCCATGAAAATAAACAGACCGAAGATAGGAGTGTATACTAATCAAACATTCTTATGACTGCACAAAAATAAGAGCCTGCAATAGTAAACAAATAATAATACAGCAATTCTGAGTGCAAGTTGATGCTTTAGAAAGGCAATCCTCCTTTGCCCGTCGTAGACTGAATGGAATAAAACAGCAGAGGGGCTCTGCTGGTCAATATCCATGCATCAGGCATGGGCACTGGTAGGCTGAAGGGCTGTGCGTGTGCCTCAGGCTCCTGGCCACGAAGCCCCCCACCCCTGGTTAACATGCACACCTTATGCATGAGTGTTTGGCCAGGAGTAGGCAAAGCTGCACATCACTGGGACAGGAAGAGACACTTTCCCTTTAATCATGTGGATCCTGCTCATGTGCTATACTGGGGAAGGGTGATATGAACATCCACTTATTTAAAAGTTCCATCCTAGTAACTTGGCATTTGAGGGTGTGGCTATTAGGAAGCAATGGCATGGAGAAATGGCTGTCTCCTTGCTCCATCCAAATGGCAAGTCCCACTTGTTCTACAACTGAGGATTCTACTTGGCGTCACTATTCGTAACCTTTCGGGAAGCCGCATTCCAGTTACTTTGACAGCTTCGCCATTTGTAGTGTATCTCATTTACAAAGTGCTTTTTTTGTAAAGAAAAAAAAAAGGTGCCGGAACTCACGTCTTGGAGTCACACTTTTACACTAAAAAGATTTTCAATTCACCAACTTTTTTTGAAATAAAGAACTTATTTACCTTTTGCACATAGCCAGTCACTCTACACACACATAAACATAATGGTCGCCGCCGGCAGTAAGCACTCGGCGCACAACCACATGACCAATCCCAAGCCCAGCAGCATCCCAAGCCGAGCAGTGCCCTCACAATCAGTGTGGACACACAAGAAGCCCGCATGCACTATTTTAATGATTTTTGCCACCGACCTACTATGCCCGACGGCAATTCAAAATCACTTGGAAAAATCCATTGGAAAAATCCATCAAAAAAAGGTGCTGGAACACTGTTCCAGTGTGTTCTATGACAAAAAAGCCCTGCATTTACAGCATTTTGAATTTGTGCTGATAAATAACCCTTGAATTCCAGTCATGAAAAAATATTGATTTTAGTTGTTCACCTTTATTATTTTTTAAAAAATTTAAATCTTAGACCCTGCCTTCCCCAAAGAACTGGAAGCAACTTTTCATCAGGAAAGTGTAATGACCTCAAGCAAAACCAAAATAATGCATTGCACCATCAATACTACTAAAACACCCATTTAGAAAAGAGTTAAAAGGTTAAACAGAAGTGGAGATAATCAAAGTGAAAAGAACAAACTGATATTGCATACATGAAAAAACCCCTGAGTTAGAAGGGTATTCCACAAGGCGGTCGCACCACCAAGAGGTCCATATTCCTTACCATAGCACACTACAGTCCCTTATGCTTGAAGAATCTGGAGTAAAGCCTGAGATGCAGGGATAGGAGAGAAATTCATTCTGTGTATGTTTTGACATGAACAAAGCTAATTCTCACTTCCTGATCTAATATGCAAACTGAAATGCAGCTTTCATTCCATATGGACATTTTCTCAGTTATGCTATGCAATTGTCTAGCCAAAATGGCATTATTAGGTTGGAGCATGTGCACAAACTTTTTAAAAGTGAAAATGACATACAAAGATGCATTCACAGAAAAATCACTTGCAAAACACATATAGGCAAAATTGCATATAAATGACATATATTACACAAAATGTGTACAAAATTCACACAATGGTGAAATGTTTGCAAATTCATACAGAAATAATACAAAACAAATGAAACATATAACTTTTTATGGTAAGAAAAATGAAAACTTAAATTGACAAATTTGTCCATTCCTACTAAGGTGATATATGGAGCATATGGAAGGAACATATGAAAGAAGGTAATCTTGAAGGTATTCAGACAGACCCCAGTCAATTTACAGATTTATGAATTGACCCAGAAACAAACAGACAACCCATGCAGACCAAACAAGATACACATAATATCTAAAGACGTTCTTCCAGTCAGCACTTTGTTCTGTTATATGCAAAGGCTACAATGTCTCAAATGTTTAACTTCCACAAAGAGAGAGAGAGAGAATGAATGAATCAAGGACAGACCATACAAGATACTGAGCAGACCAAAAAGAATGATGTAACTCCAACTCAGACTCCAACTCAGTCACAAGCACAAGGAATAAGTTGATTAACTCAAATGTAAGACCGGCCTATGCATTTATAAATGGCATATGCATGCAGCATAGGGAACATGTTATCAAAGCAGAATACTGAAGAAACAAAGTCAAGCCAGACTACAATATTAAGAGACTCTTTGGCAGAATCTTGATATCTGTACACTGCATATCAAACACACACACTTGTGCACATGCACACACACACAAACACCCAGACAGAACAAGCAAGCCATACTTTGCACATGTTCACACCCTCACTCCATCCATCCATCCAGTTCTTGGCCACCCAAGTGATAAAGATCTTTGTTTGCATAAGGAAAAATAATACCTTAAATATCCAAACAAAGTTCATTACCCATTCAAGCTATTAAGATCTGTCATTGGACAAATATCACTGTTACCCTCAAAGCTAGCATGGGGTGGAGTTGGGAGGGGGGATTCTACTTATCCTACTATTCAAAGGCAGAGGAAGTCAGAATGTAATCTCATCTGATCACACAGGAGATTCTGAACCTAGATTGTTTAGGCCAGGATTTAGAGGTCAAATCCAGTACTTTGAATGGGGGCATAAATTCACTTGATTTATTCCTTTCTCTCAAGTTCTTAGTAATAATTAAAACATGAATTCAAACAAAGAACTGCCCAGAAGCAAGTCACCCCACTCCAGAATTGGTCTAACTTGCTAATTAGGCTATTACATTCTAGACCACTTAAGATTTCCGAAGTCTCTTAAAGGTAATCCAAACTTCATTACAATAATTCAAGTATGAAATTACTTGAGTATGTGAGGATGGCCAAGTCACCATGTCCCAACTAGAAAGAGTCCAATCAACAAACAAATCAAAATGGTCAAAGACCAAATGGTCCAAGACAATAGGCAATTCACTATTCCCATATCAATGGGGCCACCCACTCTGGCATTCCTGTTTTAAGTTGATTGCATTTCACCTATTTACTCTATCCTTAGATAATCAAATCCGAGCCACCAAGTATCTGGATCAGACGAAGAAAAACAAAGTCATATTCATCAGCATAGAGAAGAGACCATGTCCCAAAACCTACTTATGTCCTTGCTTAGCAGTTTTATGCAGATGTTTAGCTTCTCTAAATAGTGGTGATTCTGTTACCTTTCTATCGCCATAGTTCTAATGCTTACAGAAAACCAAGGGCAGTTGAGCGATTACAAGGGGCTTCTGCATATTCACAGCTGAGATATGCTTGTGGCTTTTCTTCCTGTTCTAGACTACAAATTTATATAGATAGATAGATAGATAGATAGATAGATAGATAGATAGATAGATAGATAGATGATATAGATATATAAATCATAAACCTGTGTAACTTTGTCTCCCAGTATCCTCTCCTCTCTGTGACACTGGCTAACACAGGTCAGTCTTTCAGTATGTTGTGCAATAACACACCATTTCTCTCTATGTTCTTCACCACTACTACCAAAAAGGTGTCAAAACAGAACAGGGCTTGTCAGGAGAGGTGGGATAGTTTTGATGGTTTCAGCCTCAGGCCATAAATAAGTGTTATTCACCCATGCACAACATATAACTCATCCTAAGTGGCAGCACACTCTGCTCTAGAGAAGTATTTGACTGAGCTGCCTCACCAAGTCAATTACTGCTTATTCTCAGGGCCAAAAGAGCAGAGATGCCTGCCAAGGAGGCATGGGGAAACCTGCGTGGCACAGTATCTCATTTGTGGATAAATATATATCTAGTCGGAGGTTCCTTGTGGTGCGTGCGTGTGTGTGTTTTAAGGGCTGCTATAAAATGTATGTTCCAACAATATTGTTCCTGTTCTCTAAATATGAAGTAAAATCAAGGCTGTGTTAGATGGCTGCCTATACAATTCCAGCAATTCCACCTTAATCAGGAGTTATTTATGGTAAACCTACTTAGTTGCTTACAGCTCCATTCCTGAATGCCTTATTAAGGAAAATGACTGCACTGCAAATGGATTTCAGTACAAGTTTTATCTAAGTAAAGGCTGAACAAAAGCAGAGTAATTTTTTAAATACAAGCACTGCAGTCTGCACAAGTGCAAGGAACAGTAAAGAGACAACAACAACAAAAATAAGCCTCAAACCATTTAGTATGCATTGTTTCATGGGTGGGAAGGGAATCTGGAGAAATTTCCCACTAAATAACAACAACAAGAACAACAACAACAAGCTGAAAAGTACAAAGGAGAGCATCTTGAAATAAATGGCATACTTATTGCTAAGAAATGAGCCCAGATATATCTTAAACAAATGCTAAAGCTCAGAATTTACTGCACCATTCATGCACTTTCATCTCTCTCATTTCATGCCACAACAAGGGATTTTGTGTATTCCATATGAAATACAGCAAGACTGTGATTTTTTTTCAGCAATAAACCCCACGCATGCATGACAAATCCAAGCATGCAAAATGTTTAACATCCCAGTTCAGAGATACTTTGGGGACAAAATCCGATTATGAGTTATATGCCACAATAAATAGGGCTCTGCATTTCAAAAAGCAATTTATAGTTCATAAAAATGACAAAATGTACCTGTCAGACAGAACCCGGAGTGCAGATCTCTGTGCTGCCTGCTGGAAGGAAGGGCAGAAATGTTTATTTTATACTCTGACTTTTAAAATATGAGCTCAGTCCACAATGAAAAAAATGTGTCACACATTCTTGTCACATGTCCACATTTTAAAGCATTAACAAGTAGCACTAAGTCCAAGTCATATGGATATTTTCCATCTACAACATGTAATAGCACTTTGTTAAGTATGCTATAAAACCAGAGAACTGTTAAAGCATTGCACAGTCCTTTAAATCTGAACAATCCTATTTAAAGATTTTTTTAAAACCTTGCTGAAATTAATTCCCTTTCTTCCCACCATCCCCTTTACCATTAGTTCCCTCCCACTCTTCCATAGAAATGGAAATCATGGATTGGCTCCCCTGGAACCATCTGTGGTTACAGAATTGTTCATTTAGCAAAGTGTGCAAGAATTGCAGCAGGCTTTCTTCAACACTGTTGCGATTCGTTGCTGGCAAGTTTTGACTCTGCTGCATGCAGATGAAGGATTCAGTGATACTTTACTTCTCAGTTGATGCTTACAAACAACTGGCATATGAAATAAAATCACAGCTTTTCAAATTTAATAGGACATTCACATTTGATCAGTAAACTAGCTTCTTATTTGTTTTGGTGACATGAGTCCCATAGAAAGTAGTGACATAGATTTTTGTCATTTCAGTAAATAACCAGACATACCAGTAAATAACCAGAATATGATTATCATCTTAGCTAGAACCTCGGCTTTGGCTTTAACCTTGCCTAAAGGAGGCAGTAGTGAGAGCTCTGTTTAAACAAAATCTACTGTTCTGAGGAATTTCCATCTAATGTCCAGTATTCCATTCTTGAGCAAGGTGCTGGAATGTGTGGTAGGGATTTTTGGATGAGGTAGATTATCTAGACCCATTTCTATCTTATCTCCCATTCTATCTATACTTACATAAAACCTCTGAAAGAAATTATCCAGAATTTTAAGATTCAGTGCCACCAGAATGTTGATGACACCAAACTGTTTCTCATCTAAATCCCAGGAAGCTGATCTGGTTCTTAATTGGCATCTGATGTCATTAAGGGACTGGTTGAGGGCAAACAAATTGACATTCGATCCAGACAAGACAGAGTTGCTCCTGCTCAGTCCAAAGGTAGATCAGCCTGTGCCTGAAGGGTTAGTCTCCTCTGAAGACTCAGGGCCACAGTTTGGGTGTTTCCTTAAACTTGCTCCTGAAGCTAAATGCCTACTCTTGGCAATGCCCAAGAGAACATTTCAACAGCTGAGACTAGTGTCACCTATGCCCATGCCTAATTATGTCTGATCTGTTAAGCATGTCTTCATTACATCCTATCTGGACTACTGGAACATTCTCTGTGTGAGATTGCCTTGGAAAACTTCAGTTCTTCTTCTTCTTCAGAAACTTCAGTTTGACCAGAATGCTATGGCCAGACCATAGGCAAGCCCAATTACAGGAAGCGTCAATTTCTTGTTAAAGTAGTGCCACTAGCTGTCAGTTTCCTTCCAAGAAGAATTCAGAGTACTGGTTATGACTTGTAAAGCAATACAAAGCTCTCCCATGAGCCTGTCCACTTCTTAAGATCTTCTAGAAAAGACCTTCTTTCAAGGTCACAGCCTTCGCAGGCATGCTTCGTAGCAACCCAAGCACAGGCCTTTTTGGTGACCATCCCAGATTCATTCCCTCTTTGCTGTTCTTCCTCGGAAAAGCAAAGATTGCTTTATTCAAGACGGTCTTTCGGCCTGTAAGTAGATCTTTTGGTTGGATGCAGTTTTAATTTTCTAAATATGCAACTGATACATATTACTATACTTTTTATATTTTATTATTTTAACCAATTTAATTATGTCTGTAAGCCACCTTGAGTGTTCATTTTTGATAGAAGGATAAGAGTACAAATCATATCAATCCATTAACCACCTCTTATATTTTAGAATTTTAGCATCACACTTTTGAAAATTTAGCATTAAGAAGTGCATTATCATTGTTTTGGGTTTTCTATATAATTGGTTTCATTGTTGTGGTGGTCTTTAGTATTTGGATATTGATTCTATTGTAAACCACCTAAACAGTCCTTATGAGCTAGGGCATGGGTCCTCAAACTACAGCCTGCAGGCCGGATCTGGCCTGCATGCCCATTTATCTGGCCTGTCTCAGAGGATTTGGACTCCTCATGCCCGTGCCCACTGCCGCCACCCGCCTTGCTGTGTGTGTGATGAGGTGCCAGCTTGCTTGCTTGGAGATCGTTTTGGACTCGCTCGGAGATGTCCGAACAAGCAAGCTGCTGCCTCGCTGTGCACATCGTCGCCATCTCACTGGCCTGCGCCTGCAGGCACCCCTGCCTCACCGGCCTGTGCCCGCTGCCACCTTTCAACTGGCCCCCTGTTGAAAAAGTTGGAGGACCCCTGAACTAGGAGGTGGCATATAAATCTAAAAATAAATAGATAAATAAATAAATAGGCTGATCCTGTCAGCTATTTGCTATGCTTTTTATTATGTTTTTATTATCTGCAAGGGGCATAGAGTAATATGTATGGCCATCCCCTTCCTATTTTACCTTCATCCTGAAAGGTGGATTAGTGACAGGCCCAAGGTCATTTAATCAGCTTCAACAGGACTGAACCTGGTTCTCCCTGGTCCTAGCCAACGTTCTACTGATAGTCTCCTTATTCATTCACAGTACAAAATTATGGTTTTCCCTTTAAGTGCCCAAATCTGAACAATGACAATTCTGCGAGTAAGCTATACGATTGTAGGTTGCATGCCCCACCATCCACATGTGGTGAGACTTGAGCATGTCAGCATTTCTGTTTTGACCAAGAAGAGTCCTGGAAAATATGCATCTTTATTTCCTAGGAACTTTCTGGCAATTTTGGCTATGCACTACCATGCTGAGACAAAAGTGTGGACAGGTGCCATAGAGACATGACCTCTGATTGGCATTCCTGAACTAATATATATTTATAAGCTTCATATTAAAGCAGGTGTGCCAAGGTTTGTCTATCATTAATCATCATGCTCTTTTATGGGTGGTAGATGGATCCTATCTGGAATGGACTGAGCCCTTCCTAGCATCCACAGTTTATGCTGCTTACTTGGAAGGAGGATTCAACAGAGAAAGCCCCACTTATTTCAGAAAAAAGCTCAGGGATCAACCAGGATGGCTTGGTATCAAAAAGAATAAAATTTCTATAATGGAATCACCCTAGACACACTGAATATGTATGCACTCATCTCCTTATGTCCAGCATGCTTACTGGATGTCTTTCTGCTTTACCTAGTCTGAGTTAAATATCACAAAACATGTGTGGGGAGAAAGCTGTTCTTGATGAGGGTGGGTATCCTTTTCAGACCCATTCTGGCCACAGATCCTAAATGGGGCCAAAGAAACAGGTTCCTCTAGTTATTCTCATTATTTAGACATATTGCTCATAAATAAAAAATTAGCCCCACTGTCTCTAAACAGACTCTTTGAAGAGATATGATAATAAAAATAAGCAATTTAATATCCTTGAAGAGAAGGAAGCTTCTCATGTAATTATTTACTTTTCTGACTCCTGGCTTGCTGGTCCCTAAAACCTACTGGTCTGGGGATAACATTTTAAGATTCCACTTCACCATTCCATTATCACACGCCAACATGTCAGGTCCACTGAGCTCCCTCCTTATCACACAGATCAGAATGAACTGAAGCAACCTGCCAATCCCTGGAAGGACCAGCCTGCTTCTGAGTTGTGCTGGTTCTACTTGTTATTCATATATTTGTTTTCTGCTGTTTTCACATCTTTATTTTAAAAATCCTATATGAAAATCACCTTATTTGCAGAGTATTTTCAACAAAATATGTATTTGAATTAATTTTACCCACCACTCCCACATCTTTGCATGCATTTTAACTTGGAACTACTTCTGAACTGAAATCTTTTGCAAAATTCAGAGACATACAAAAAAGGAAGAATGTAATCAATGTTTTAGTCCATGAAACTTCATAAAATGGAGAGTAAACAAAATCCTTGATCATCTCTATCCCCAAACCTCTCTCAATCCTTTTTTAAGGTTCAAATTGATGTACACTCTTCTGATTCAGCTCAGACTCCACTACCTTGGGAGCAACCCAGCAAATAATGGAAAGATGATCACGTAAGAATGATGGTGCACCCATGTTATAATTCAACAGAACAAACTCTTCACAGATGTAGGAACAATATGACTGGCAGTTCTGTCAAATCCCTAGTTCATCCCTGGAAGGCAGAGGTGACCTGGGTGGTTGACATGATCACTCCTGAGCACCCTTTCTGTAGTAGCGCTCATACGGCTCTGTGGTGTATCCCAAGCTAGGAGCAATGAAGCAGTATGGGAGACGGTTTGAGCACAAATGGTGGAAAACTCCCAGGTGGTGCAATTGAACCCTGGGTGGTGCCTACCATCAGATATATTTGGGGAACATGAGGGTGGCAAACAAAAAACATCTCACTGCCTCTGTCCAAGACTGAATGAACAGCTGGGCAGAAGAGTAGCTGAGCAATGAATAGGCGGCTGCTGGCCAGCTGGGAACCAGGTGGTCCACAGCCGGCATCTGGATGGGCCAGCACACAGCTGGCTTTTCTCTCTGGTGGGTGGCAGCCAGACTCACAGTGCTTAGACTCAGGCTGTGCTTTCCTCTGGCTGGGAAGAAAGGGGGAAGCTCCGAGACCAGGCTCCCAGCAGTTTGGAAAGCATAGGATCTTTTTTTTTTGCCCTGCAAAGGCACTCTGATGTTGGGCGACAAGGCAAAGGCTTTCTCTGCCTCCTGTGAGAACTGCAAGGGGATGGCAGAAGCAGCCCAGCCCCATAGCTTCTTTTCTGAATCCTGCGATGGGGAAAGAGCCATTCCCTCTGAGGAGACGTCATGGGGCCCTGCTTCAATGAGCATTCCAATCCCTGACTTTTTAAGGAAATGGAATGCATTCCTCTTTCCTTTGCACAACCCCAGAATAGCTGCTTCAGAACTGAGGGAGGCATCGATGCCCAGACT